GTTTGCAATGTGACTGATACCTAGATGCTAGATTCTTCTTTGTAATTGATAGACAAGACACAGGGAAGTGATGTTGTGTTGTGGATTCCGGGATGAAATCCGGTCTGATATGAATGACAAACGCAGGAATGAAATATAACAAATAAATGTATTGACGTAATGATACAATTTGTAATACGGTTAGTAGATCCAGAAATGCGGTTAGTAGCAATAAATATATATATACAGTCTGGGAAATTCAGTATCGAAGTATGACTTCCTTCTGAGTTTACGTGCTCGCAACTGTGACTCCTACAAGCCGTTACCTGACACTCTCACTTCCGGGTATTCACCGGCCGCAGTACAAGTACACACTGGGCGAGTCCACTCGTATTAAAAAGGGGTGGACCCCTTAAGAGTTAGAGACTTTGGGAAGTGCCTGATGTGGAAATGCTAGAATCAACAAGAATCTCTAAATACATAGGAAGAAACATCCGACCAGATGTGGCAGTGCATGGACGAATTGTAGACCAATGTCTTAGACAGATTCGGACAAGATAAAGTGTCTAGAACGACACATTGAGAGCAGCAGACCTAAGAGTTGATTTGATATAATTGCTCCAATTAATTTTAGTGGAAAAATCTTTAACAGTGTTAATGAAAAAAAAAGAAAAATAAATAAAAGAGAAGGTGTTACCAATTTACATTATTCGGATTATTGTCCTCATCTTTGTCACCATATTTATTACAACGTTTCGGCCTATCAGTATCTGTCTATATTTCTGAGATGAGGTATTATGTACACTATTTACATTATTCGGACTATTGTCCTCATCTTTCTCGCCATATTTATTACAAGGTTTCGGCCTTTCAGTATCTGTCTATATTTCTGAGATGAGGTATTATGTACACTATTTACATTATTCGGACAATTGTCCTCATTTTTGTCGCCATATTTATTACAACGTTTCGGCCTATCAGTATCTGTCTATATTTCTGAGATGAGCTATTATGTACACTATTTTCATTATTCGGACTTGTCCTCATTTTTGTCGCCATATTTATTACAAGGTTTCGGCCTTTCAGTACCTGTCTATATATCTGAGATGAGCTATTGTGTACACTATTTACATTATTCGGACTATTGTCCTCAACTTTGTCGCCATATTTATTATAACGTTTCGGCCGTTGTACGCTCTGGCCTGCTTCAGGTTGTTGGAATGTCGGACTTATCCCTTTAAACGTTGTAATAAACATGGCAACAAAGATGAGGACAATAGTCCGAATAATCTAAATAATGTACATAATACCTCATCTCACACATATAGACAGATACTGAGGTGTTACCAATATATGTGATATTTGATTTCTGGAGAAATTTATTATTGTAAAATATTTCATATTAGTGGATGTAAATCTGATGAAGATAGCGACAACCAAATCGTTCATCTCAACAGACAAACCAAAAACTTTCTTTCCATCGATTGGAAACATCTTCTCGATGGAACCAACGAACTGTGGGGGGGTAACACTAATCCGCTGCTATTTATCTGTCTAATCATAGGTCGAAGTTGATTTCGGAAGAAAAAGAAAATTATTGGCCATCCAAATAGAATAAAAACACCAACTAGGCAAAGGCGAGACTTGAACTCGCAATCATTTGAATTGAATTAATACGTCATCTGCTTTAGGCGTCGAAGACAAAGGTGAAAATGGTCTTCTGCTGTTTGGAAATTGATTTTTGCCGAAAATCCTATTCAAACAGAATGAAAACAGTGGCAGCCAAAAGATTACTCACAATATCTGCTCGGGTCATCGTGAGGTTAGCTGTTTCCTGATAAGGAAATCTTTAATATTCATTCACCAAACATTTATCATTAGCGTCAACTGAATTTTAGGAAATCTTTCTTAGAAAGTTTTTCAGGAAAATAAGTTTATCAAGTCCATTGTTATGGCTCTTTCTAGTATTAAGAGTGGAGGTTCCTGCTGACAGTGTATTCAAGGTAGTTTGGAAGGGCAACATCTTTATTGGGCTATTCATCTTAGTTGTTGCCTTTATTGAAACTCTTCAATTGATGAAGTTTTTGTTATTTGTGATTCTGTAGCGCCAGAAGGACAGTCCTCTTCAAAAACCTACAGGATTCATTCTTATGAATCCGTTTTAAGTATTAATCTGAGAAAATAGTCGTTTATGGCTAATAGTTTCGAAATTTATGGACAAGTTGGACGCCATAGATGACATCCGTATGAGAGTCTGGCAAGTGAGAAAATATTTTTAAATTGTAAGTTTTTTTTTGTTTTTTTAGAAAATAATGATTTAGTAGTACAAGTCTTAATTAGTATTTTCACGTAAGTGAATATTACGAACACAAAGGGAATTGGAACTTGGCTCTCCGATTAACAATTCTGATCCATTATCCGTTACACGACCCGCACATTCTACCTTATAGCACCTGGCATTCTCAACTGGTCACCCATCTAGATACTGACATTGCTTAACTTCGGTGATGCCTGTATGCTTAATTTTTCGTGTGTTCTAATGCATAATGGCTCGAGATTGTTAATTGGAAAGCCGAGTTCCAGTTGGGTTCGTTATATTCAATTACGGGCCAATACTCTTGGGAAAGGTAGGGATAAACCTCTTCTCTAGATATGGGGTACTTCGTAAGACTTCTATCACGAAATCATTATTATCTCAAACGAAGTCTTAGAATCTAAAACCTATTTTCTGGCTTTAAACAACTTGCAATGGCTGATAAGATTTAGAAAGTGAGTAAATCAATTAATAAAAAAAATGACTCTACGATGAAATTTCTGTCTTTATTTTCTCTTTAAAAACTTTTTATTTCCTATATAACTTCATTAGTAATTCTATTACATTGGCTTGTTAGTTTCTTTCTTTAAAATGTTCTTATATTCTGCCTAATTTGGGTTTTCAATTTCCATCTTTATACTTACTCATTTTCCTTGTGTTTCTTTCGTTGCGTTCATTTTGTTTTTCTGTCTTCTGTAATTTGATTTCTTTCCTTTACATTTGTAGGTAGAGGTTATCTGCCCCCCCCGCCAATTCCTTCCTCCACTTCTTCACTGTCTTCTGAAACTGATTTACACGTTCTTAGCTTCTGTTCTTTGAAGAATTCAAATGATTATTGACATGTCATCTAGGTCGGGGGATTCTCTTAAAGATATATGTATTTTATGTTTACTGCTGGGTCACTGCTTCTTTAACCAAAGAGCCACCATATCAACACAGGAAATCACTAACGATACCACCGTCGCCATCAATACCATTAATACAATTCTGTATTTCTAATGGTGATGTGTATAGTTCAGTAAAAAAGATCACAGAACTAAGCAACTAGGCTCAAGTCTAGAAGTTAAATCGTTCTTGCCACTTTATTCGAGTTACAAATTTTTGTATTTTGAATAACAACTAAACACTCATGACACTGTGTTGATGGTAAAAACAAAGAGACAACTACAGGACATATTAGCAAAGGAAAGCAAGAAGAAAGGATTAACTATCAATTGTCCGAACACACAAATGTATTGTTGTCAACAAGAGAAAAAAACAGTGAACTATAAATTGGAGATGTCAAAATCAAACAAATAAATTCCTAAACCTGAGCAATAAACAGGAAATATTCATGAGAAAAAAAGAAAATTGTGCTGAACTGTTGTATAGCATCAGTTCTCAAAAAAGGCACTGAATTCTGGACAATTTACTCACAGATGAAGGTTGGTGGCAACAGAAACATGGCTCTACAGAAGGATGGGCGGGAAGCGTAAGCAACGGGCAAGTGAAAATGGAAACAAAAAAGAACACATACAATGGGAATCAGAAAGAGACAAATATTTCTGGCACACGTAATCAGGGCTTGGGGAATTTGACATTTTTTTATGGGGAGTATTGGAAGGCACAAGATCCGGGAAAACGGTGCGGGCTACATACCTGATAAGTTTGTGTGAGGGGTTTCACCCCGAAACCAGGCGAGAATGCCACTAGTGCGTAGGGGGCTACAGGGAGTGAAAGTGAAAGAGAAGACTGAGAATAAGGAGGATTGCTAAAACGACAAAAGATGAACAGGATTCAAGAAGGCCGAAGATGGCGATTGTTGTTGAATATATATATATTTTTTTTAGATGATAGATATCATGGAAGCAAGTAAACAGAATTGAGTTCCACAGGTGGGAAGTGCGAGAAAAGAAATTGTTGGAGTTGAAGTGGCGGGTGCATTTAGCCATTTTAGCAGTAAACGGATGGTGCCTATGTGTCACTCTATTAGCACGTTTAAATACTTGTAGTCGGGACACCAGAGGAAAATCTCGTCAGAGTAGTTGCCATGAAAAGGGATACAATGGATAGAAAGTTGTGGAGAGCTATGATCATTCATATCCTGAATGGATACAGCACATAGAAGAATGTAATATTCAATTGAACCTCATCGCCATGAGTAAGGTTTTCCGCAAGATTCACTTATCAAGCAAAAAAAATACATTCAATATCTATTTAATGCGCGTACGACAGTTCAACGCTGAAGAAGATCGTCTTGTAAATAAACTGGAAGAAACGGCGCCATCGGAATATAATCGAAAATTATTTATCAAAAAAAAAAAAAATAAAAAATAAAGAACTTCAAGAAAACTGGTGAAGAATAAAGTCAATATAATTCCAGCGTTCCTGAAATTCCTCACTATTACCTGAAGGTATCTATTGTGTACGGAGCAACCCGAGAATGGCCGACGTTTCATGGCAAACGGGGTTTTATCGCCCTCTGGCGTTGTTCCCGCAGTACCATGTGATCACAGGCGGGAATCTTCGTGACTTCGTGTCTTGAGCTTGATACGATCGACTTCCGATTAAAATATAAAACGTTAAAAAAAAATTTCGAATAAAAGAGTGGAGAATAAAAAGGAATATTTGAAAATCAATGCAAAAGAAGAGATGGAATATTTATGAGGAATGAGTGAGGTAAGAAAAGGAATAAAATTGTGAACGAATGAAGAGAAACGATAAATGATTAAAAGAGGAGGAGGAAAAAGAAAGTGAATGACGAGGAAAGGAAGAAAGGATGAAAATATGTGAAAGGGGAGTGTAGGGAAATGTGAAAAAATGTGAAAGGTGAAGTAGAGAAACAAAGGAATGGGGAAAATGATGAAAGAAAGCCAAAAGAAGGAAAATGAAGGAAGAAGAAAAGATGGAGGATGGAGAAAAGTGGAAGAAATGGGTGAATATTTGTGAAATGGGAGAAGTGGGGAAATGTGAAAAAATAGGAAAAATGAATCAGAAAAAGAAAGGAAATGGGAAAATTGAAAAAGACAAAATGAAGGAAAAGATGCAGGAAGTATAAAAGAGGAAGAAAGGGTAAATATTTGTGAAAGGGAGAAGTGGAGAAATGTGAAAAAATGTAAAATGTGAAGCAGAGAAACAAAGGAAGCGTAAAAATAATGAAGGAAAGCCAAATGAAGAAAAATGAAAGAAAATGGAAATATGAAGGAAGGGAAAAATAGGAAGAATGGGTGAAAATATGTGAAAGGCTAGAAGTGGAGAAAAGTGAAAAAATGGGAAAGGTGAAGCAGAAAAACAAAGGAAGGGGGAAAACATGAAGGAAAGCCAGAAGGAGAAAGATGTAGAAATAAGAAAAACGTATGAAGAGAAGGTGGGAAAATATGGGTGATAGCAGAAAAGATATATTTTGAAAACGAGGCAATGAAACGGAAAAGACGAAAGTGCCGAAAAGAAAAAAAAGAAAAACGAAACATGGGAAATTGAGAAAAGGGAGAAAATATGAGGGAAGGAAGAGGGAGAAGGAAAGAGAAAACAGAAAGAAAGCGGAAAAGAAAGGAATGAAAAAGGATGAAGGATGGAGAAAAGAGAAGATAAGAGAAAAGATGAAGGAAAACAGTAGAAAGGGAAACGTGATTAAATGAAAAATAAAAAAGAAATTGCGATACGACCTGGAAAGACGAAAAGGAAAGTAGAAACGATGAAAGAAAGAAATTCAGGATAAAATATGAAAGATGGAAAAGTGTGAAGGAAAGAGAAAAAGATTGTAAAAACGGAAATTCAGAAGAAAGAAAATGAAAGCACATCAAATGTAGTTTAATGTGAAGAAATGGGAAAGACGAAAAACAAAGTTAAAATGTGAAAAACTAAAATATGTAAAAGTAGCGATAAACAAAGACATGGAGAAAGAACGAAGGAGGGAAAAAATGAAGGAAGAAAAAAGATGAAGGAAGGAAAAAAATGAAGGAAGGACAAACATGAAGGCACGAAAAAGATGAAGGAAGGAAAAAAATAAAAGAATGATAGCATGAAAGGAGAAATGCGAAAGAAAAAACGTTAGACATAGCAAAAATTATAACAACTCGTTCTTTTTTTTCTTTGTAACTTTGGAAGGAGAAAAATAATTAGGATAAGACTAGAAATGATAAAAACTCTTGATTCAAAAAGAAAAGTAAAAGATGAAAGATTTAAAAAGGCGAAGATTTCGGCGAAGAAATCTATAATAAAGAATCGTAAATTGTAATAATATTCCTTAGAACCTCCAGGAGTGCCACTGCTAAATATTTAGACATTCTGGATAAAATCCACAGAAGAATCTGCAGTGTTACTGGTCCTGACCTGGCATCTCGGCTTCAGTCACTTTCCCACCGCCGTAATGTAGTTTCCCTGTGTCTTTTCTATAAAAAAATCTTTCATGGTAATTGTTCTCTATTCTAAACATTCATTGAGGATTTCATTTTTAAAAGTTCTTATTTTATTCCCCACCCTTACAGACTAATTCTACATATGGGGACTATTTTTAACTATATAAAGACTGGAGGTATTATGGTGGCTGTAGTAAGAATGGTAATTAAGAATGTTTTGCTTTGGTGAAAGGAATACTATAGTATTCCTGTATCAGTAGTCATGGCTAGTTAAGTTTAAGATAAGACAGACTAAAGGCCAGCCATCCCCTATCTCCCACCCCCTTTAGGCCTTGTGCTACATTTTTGTATTTTAAAAATAAATATTATTTCCCTCTATAGCACCTAGACTTTATGAATTTAAGTACAGTACGAGATTAGCGGTAAGATTTCATCATTTTACAGTCGAAATGGCTAGATGTAACCGTAAGTTCTATGCTAACAGTTTCTTCTATCGCACTTCTCACTTGTGGAAATCTTGTTTCCCAGTCAATTTTTTTTCTTCAAAAATTTAAATGAAATATCAATCGTTACGGCCTCTCTTCTTAATGTTTGTTATTTTATTGTTCCCGTTCCTTAATAATGTTTTTCTTATATTCTTTTCCCCAGAGTAACCTCACTGCATTATTAATGGCTTTCTTATCTTGCTTGAGGTTTAATCATTCAACAATAAGAAACTGTTGCATAAAAAATATTTAAAATAGCAAATGATACGGTAAACAAAATCTTCGGACATCTTAGAAGAAAACAGTCCAGGGTTCTTCTCAAACGTAAGTTTTATGGTTTAACGAAAGGCAGCTCAAGGAAAGCCAGATTTATATTAACAAATGAGATAATAATGACTAGGTTGGATTCAAACTGGTAAAGCCAGGCCATGAATAATCATCACTTGGACGGATCTTGCCACATAATCTTATATTAAATTAATATTAAACTCATATATTACTATGCTTTTCGTTATAGCTATAGAAAGTACATTCAGTATCATTATATTCATATTGAGTATCGAGATTTACACAGTGACTGTATAATATTATTCAAAATTACTAATTAAACTTGGCAGTTTGTAAAGATTTCTGGGATATGAGAAAAATTTACACAAAAAGAGGGCACATTTACACACTTACACACACACACACACACACACACACACATATATATATATATATATATATTGTCATGGGTCCTTACCTATAACTACAGAATGAACTCTTCCTAACACTGTATACTACGCCTCTCAAGAGAGAGGGACGAATCAAGCCGATCTTCTCGGCTTGACGGTCAAACTCTCTGTCTCTGAGCAGAGAGGAACCCGGACGAGGCTCCGCCGAAGGGCAGAGTTTCGTTCGGGGAGGTTGACCAACCCGATCACGTTTGTACGGGTTCTACGGGCATTTTTTGGCCGAGCCTACGGACTCGGGAAACCCACGTTAAACTCGGCCTTGTGCCATATGCAACCCTCGTGGGGGGTGGCTAGATACCGAATCGAGTCGAGCTTCTCGGCTTGACGGTCGGACTCGCTGCCTCTGAGCAGAGAGGAACCCGGACGAGGCTCCGCCGAAGGGCAGAGTCTCGTTCGGGGAGGTTGACCAACCCAAATCAGTTTATATGGGTTTTATGGGCATTTTTGGCCGAGACTACGGGCTCGGGAAACCCAGGTTAAACTCGGCCTTGTGCCACATGCAACGCTCGGTGGGGTGGTGGATAGATACCGAATCGAGTCGAGCCGATAGTAGTTCACTCCAAACCAGACTGACAGTCATACTAACACCTTCCACATCTTGTATTATTATTTCGTGTAATATACCTTCGTTATTTCTACTCTTGTGTTCGTGTTGTTCTTCCTTGATTCTAACTTGGACCATAACATATATATATATGACAAAAATATAATTTTAAAGAATGTATTAATTATGGATAAACGGGTTCAATATCAGAGATAGACCGTACGTAGATATGAAACAAAGTTAAACACCGGGTGGTGATAGTCTGTTTCATGCTTGACCGCAATCTTCAGGCCATGTTTGTTGTGTTTTGGCTGCACTATTTATATATGCTGATGAATGGTGCATTATGAGTAGTAAGGTGTATTGTATTATCCTGATGGTTATTGGGTGGGCAGTAACAGGGCTTTTTCAAATTATTCTAGAGGAAATGAATTACAAATAATTGTGGATCCGAATGCTGTCATTTGTATCTGTTTTATAGAGTTTATTCTTAATTTTGACTTTGTTTAGCTTTTAAGTTATATTCATTTACGGACAAATACCCTTGGGAAAGGTACGACTCCATCTCCTCTCCCTCCAGCTATGGGTTAAATTGCAGGACTGGGTCCTTTAGCCTTTAGCAACCAGTCTATTACGGAAATAAATGGCAACCTACTGCAGGAAAAATCTTCTGCCTCATCAGTCATGTATCGAATGACTTATGGTCTCCAATGGTCGTGACTGACTGATGTATCACATATTGCTTATTTAACTTGGTTTGATTAATTCATTATTTTTTATTTATAGGATTTAAAAAATACTTGTGTTTAGATGTGGATATCAATCAAGATTTTCATGATTTTTCTTTTTTTTTTTTTTTTTTCATTGGTGCAAGTATATTTTGATATTTTATTCATTTTGTATGAGTGTGTGTGCGTTCATACATCGGCATGATATATATATATATATATATATATATATATATATATATATATATTAAATATCTGTACTTTTGGTTTCCATGTCCGGCAAGGTATTAAACTTCTCACAATATATCTGTGGAAGAGACAAATTGAATAAAATAGACCATCACAAAATAGTATTAACTCTTTACCAGCGCGTTTCCTCATTCGACTATATGAAGGCAAGTGATGATAATAAAAAAAAGCGAAATGTTGTGTAGGTACATGAAATTCAAAAATTTTAAAAGACAATAAATAATCTGTAAAAAATGTCATAAAGTTTAATGTACCTAGTTTTAAGTATAGTTAAAATAACTAATGTGATTTCAGGCATTACTCTAAATCAGTTGGTAAATGCTTACCGTGAACTGCAAAATCGTATTACCCTTTGTATTGCTAATGATGGAGAACATGTGGAAACTTAAATAAAATTTCAATAAAACCTTTAAAAAATATAGATTTACTTCTTTCTAATCTTTTTTACAAATTATTTCCATTGCAAATACAAATAAAGTTACAAATTTTTAAAGAGTACACGAACTTTATGAACACCCTGTATATATATTATATATATTATAAACAGAGCATTTACTTAAATATTTGTATCTATAAAAAGAATGTATAAACATAAAAAATGTCTTAAAAATTGTCGCACTTTGTCCATTTCATAATGTGTGACGTCATTTATTTACATTTGATACGCCATGAGCAGATATATATGAATGTACGTGAGAGATTCATGGATGATTGAAGTTCAAATACAGTGAATTCGACCTGGCTAACCGAACGATCCTCTGTAGCCAAATCGGTTAAAGGCACGTCAAGCTAAGTGACGGTTCCGTATAGGAGACAGGTTCGAATCCTGCCGGAGGACGAATATTTGTGAAAATTTCTCGGATATTCAGGCCGGTAAATGTTGTTTAATACTGTTTATTATAAACAGAGCATTTACTTAAATATCTGTATCTATAAAAAGAATGTATAAGCATATAAATGTCTTCATATAATTATCTTCGGATAATAAGTGCGACATTACTGTAATTATTGAACAATATAGTTCGTGCCACTTTGACGGAAAATTTACCAGTAAAAAAGAATTCTCTTATCACTATATTTGTACAAGAACGCACAACTTTAAAATTTAAATTGAAACTCAGCGTTGCGACTGCACACTCCAAAAACAATAACACATTTCTCATAGCATTTTTCGGATTACGATACATCTATTTTCGTTGTCCTCTTATTACTGAGAGTAAAAACAAAAACAAAATCTATTCCATACCTGAGGATGTCTGTAGGAACAGACGAAAGCTTGTAAAAATAATAAGAACTTATGCAACTGAAATTTATAAAAACAAGGCTCTTTTCATGCATAAACAGTTTCGGGGTTTTTGTATATTATTTGAATTGTTCGCGTTGATGGATTTCTCGCCAATTAAATCATTAATCTTTGTATTTGTTTTTTGTATGAATAATTCATGAATATATATATATATATATATATATATATATATATATATATATATATGTGTGTGTGTGTGTGTGTGTGTGTGGCAGTACTGTTTAAAAAAAACCTCGGATAGTTCAACTTGCAGTAGAACAAATCGGTAGCCGAGAAAACAGGAAATAAAAAAAAGATTCGGATGGTCGAAATGAACCTTGGGTAGACTGTTCTAGTTCCATATCCAACGGAGGTCATTCATCAGTCATCTTCTGTTAATTCCCCTCTCAAAGTTCTCCATTGCCTTAACCACGTATTGAACTCACACTCTTTGTATTGAGCTCACATTCGCTTGATCTAACTAACGCATTTATCCACTGCGCCAGTTGTCCTTAACGACACCTGTGCGTGAATTTCTGGGTATTATAAACCAAATGCTTTCAGCAATCATTTTTACCAGTGCTCATATTGCATTTTTTGCTGTTATCATTGCATTATTTTTTACAAGAGTCCATATTGAAATTTTCGTTGTTATTATCGCTTTTCTTTGGC